CATCTGTGCTTAGTGAGAGTTGTGGTACTGGTAAAAGCTTGCCGACAATGAGTCTTGGCCTTTTTAGGACCCAGAGGATCTTTTCATCTTTGAATATCCTCCATAGTGAACATACTGTTAAGGGATAGATCAGAAAAGACAACTGCAGGTTGGGTTTCAAGGCAAACAAAACCAAAGAGATTCAGTTGCAATTAAAAGTTGACAGGAATGTATTTCAACCGCTGCTTAGCTGTCAGTATTTTTTTTAGGGAGAGTAGCATAAATTTCTGTCTTAATAATCTTCCAGATTACCATGGTGGCATACACCTTGGGAGTCTTAATTTACCATGTCTGCTTTCAAAGCCCCCTCAGTCCTCTCTCCATGTATGAATTGATTTTCATATATTTTAGAGTGCTTTTATTTTTCTGCTTTTTAAGTTGAAAGAAAGCACAACCCTAAGATGGTGCTTGTTTTCATCATTGTTTTCTTTAAAGAAAGAAATTGTTTTCATCATTGTTTTCTTTAAAGAAATCTTTATTATTCTAAAAATAACTTGAAAGTGATCTGAGATTGTCCTTAAATGCCAATGGTGAAACTTTAGAGTTCTCCTGTGTCTTTATATTAGAGACCCTTTCGGGAAAAATTAAAATAGGAGAAAAAAAAAAAAGTACTGCTGAGATTTCAGGACTGCATTTTTTTACTACTTTTACATCCATTTGTATTTTGTATCTACCACAGTTGATTCAATTTTAATTATTTAGCCCCTTTCTGTTCTTGTGATAAAATTACAACACTTCCAGACCCAGACTATAGAATGTACTGCATTTCTAATTAAGCCTGTGATAAAAATACCATGTATTGAAATAGATAATAAAAAATACAGTTTATTGAAATAGAGAAGAACTTAGAGTATGCAAGATGTCCTTACTGAAGCTGACTTCTGCCTGAACATGGGGGGGTTAATGCTTCAGCTAGTATAGAGCATATCTTGTTTGTAGCAACTTCTAGTGATCGGGACTTTGGAATGCATCTTCTCTGAACCATTTTCTAGAGAAGTTGGTGTCGCGGTGTGCATTGGTGGAAGCCGTGGTTCATTGTGAAGGGGTGGGGTGTTTATCCTCAAATCGTCATCATCAGTGATCTTTCTGTAGTACCTGATTGCCCCTCTTGTCCCTTGTTCTATTTCTCTTCTAGTTTGATTTACTTGGCTAATAGCTCTGTAGCACAGTATGATAGAGGCAAGAGACCTACAATCTTTCCGAAGTTTTAATAAAAAAAAAATTGTTTAAACATAGTAATTTGTTTGCATATTGCTATGTTAGAGATTAAAGTCCCAATAAGTGGGAGGACCATTTCTTTCCTCTTTACCTTCAAAGAGAAATAAGGTGGAGAACACAAAAATACTAACAGAAGGTGTTGGTTTGTTTTGACTTGAGCCTTGATAAACAAATAGTTACTGTTATATATTTTTCCAGTGACAAAATATTTTGAGAATGAGATAGGGATACAGGTGTGCCAAAAAGAAGCTCCATGTTAATACCAAGCATTAGTATACCACACATAAAGCAGTGAAAGCAGAAAGATCACAGAGTGAGTTGACATGCAGTTTATAATTCAGGCTAATATGCTTTAGCAAATGCATATATCGATTTCTGTTACTCTGGTTAAACTCCTTAGTTTAGGCTTTTATTCTCCAACTTCATTGTGCTTTAGTTTCTCATTGTTCTTTTGTAGGGCCTTGGGTTAGCCTCAAATTACATAATTTACTGAGTTGCCAGCTTTTTCATATTCCTCGTTCTGGGTGATCACATTACAGAATTGATAAGAGATCAAACGTTAAACTCTGCCGTGCATTCATAATGGATCACAATGCAAGAACCCTTCAATTAAAAATTGTGAGATTAAAAAAGTACTAGACCTTCAACAAAGAATTATTTCTCAAATATGATCAATATGGTGTTCTTAAAAATTAATGATTGCTTTTTCAGTGCTCACAACAGTTTGCAAGGTCACATTTGACTGATTCTCAATATAAACAATATCTGTTCCTAGTTTCAGTGTGCAAACTGAAGATGCACAAAGTATTTGTGCGTTTCTGTTGCAGATTGTCACAGCTCTGACAGACTTCGTTGAGAACACAAATTGCTTCTGGAAGGCTGAGGCCATTAGCAAAGAAAATGAGCAAGTTGTTTGCTTGATCATGGCTGTCTTCTAGAACTGCACAAAAGCTGCTTAATTTTCTGTGCAGCCCCTTGACTAATACCAGCTTAGTAGCTGAGGGGATTTGATTAGTTACCAGCAATTACACACTGGTAGTAAATAATTGTAATGTAGATTAAACAAGACATTTAGAAAGTCAGTTGTGGAACCTGATTGAGTGCTGTGTAGCGTGTATTTTTTGGTTAGGTTAGGAAGACTTGAATATGAAAAGGGTGTTCAGGTGACTATAAAAAGGATGTTGAATTTCTTTGAGTCGCACTTTCCCTTACGATGCCTGGCTTGTTTTTCTTCCCTACCTCACTAGCAAGAAGTGTATCCAAAGAAGGTTCATCACCAGCTTGCTCTTGAAATGTTAGTCAAAGCATAGATCAGAGCCCATCAGCAATTTTTCTAGGCTTGTGTTCCAGTTTGGGCCATGGCCGATTTCCAATACTTTATCAGGCTTCCGTGGTTCACCAGTCTCTGAAACTGTAAAAGCAATAGGGGTGTTTTGTCTATTCTTTGTTCTGCAGCTGTTCTGAATTAACTACACAGTTGTGTTTGTCTGTCTAATTTGCTTCTGTATCGTTCTTCAGCTTTGCATTCCAGAATGCAGTATTTGAACATTGCATTTAGTGTATACTAAACATATTTTTTTCTTTACACTTGCTGTTGTACCCCCTTTTAAATGAAATCTATAAATAGAAAATTATTTAAAAAACAGGATAACTTTAAAGTATCAAGTCATTTAGAAACCAAACAAAGCAGCCCACACTTTGATTAGATGTTAATGGAAATGAGAAATATCCTTTTATGTCTTTGGCTCTAAATGGTGAGATTATATTACTGTCCTGTTGGGATTATGCATCTGAATTTCAGAACAATTGGTTTGTCTGAGGCTGGAGTATGTGAGATATGGGAAAAACAATACCTCCCACAGAATACTGCTCTTTTTTCCTAAGTGGTTATTTCAGACTTGACACAGGAATCTGTTCTACTGCTCTTGCACTGGTTCTTCTCAATGTCTTATATTGGTAGAGAACATGGAAATAACACTTGCAAGAAATACCTAAAAATTATTGGTGCTGGTGTGAGGGTGAAAAAGGGATCTTTAGACTCTATATGGGTCAACAGCTAAGAAAAGTAGGGATGAAAGCAAAGTAACTTGATAGTGTGTTGCTCTCCAAGCTCCACAATATTCATGAATGCTTTTACATAAAATTAAATTTAAAAAAAGAGATTTTGACAGGATCTGAGGTCTGGAATGTGGGGAGGCAATACTTGAACAGTTTGGAATGAGAGCTGAATTGCAATGAAAACGTGAGCCTTCTGCCTTGTTCCCCCTTCCTTGTATGAAATGTTGCTACGGGGCTGCTTCCCATTTCCCCAGCTCCTAAAACAAAGTAGCTTTTTGCTAGCATCTTTAGAGTTGTGAACATACTTTAGTTAACAGAGTTTTGGGGCTTGAGAAGAATTCAGTTAAACAGTATCACATCAGATAGCTTGAGACTTTTTCCTGCTGCTGACCACTTCAGTGAAGTTAAAAGGAAGCATGTTTGGTAGCCTATAATGCTGTTGTCAATGAAAGTTGCTATTTATGCCATCTTGGATTCTGGGAAAAGTCTTCTACCTTTGGGAAATAATTTTTACTTTATTTTCATCCTTGACGTCTGGTATGAACACGTAATAGGCACTGCTTTTGTTTAGAGTTTGGAAATAATTATCCATCATTCTGTTTATCCTTTAGCTTCTTAAATTATTTAGGAGCTTCAGAACAGTGTCTTAATTGCAATAGGTTTATGAGGCACTTAAATACAAAAGTCTCACGTATAGTTTGTTTTAATTTTTTATTTTAAAATTGATTCAAGTGTCTCTAAATATTTTTGTGCGGTGTGTACAGGCAAATATTGATGTTAAAAAGCATAAAATATAAATGGATGCAGTTCTACTTGTGTATATGGTGCATCCTTCTGGGTCAGATCTACTTGAGATAAGCAGCGCAAAGGTGACAATGTGTGGAATGTATGGTCTTTTTTGAAAAAGTACATTAATTCTTTTAGAATAGTCTGTTTTCCACTGCTAAATAATTTATTCCGTGTTTCCAAATACGAAAAAATTTCCACTGCAGCATTTGTTGTATACATGAAGATTTTTTGATAGTGTCTTGAAATGAGATGTTCTCTATTTGGCAGAATGAAGAACTACAGTTAGTATTTACAATTTTGTTTAATAAGCACAGCAGGAGTGCTTTTCACTGCCACGAGAGATTGGCAGTACTTTCTAAGAGTGAATTCAGCCATCTGAAAACTGATATAACTCTGTATCCCCAAAGAGGTAAGAGAACAGGAAAATTAGGATCTTGGATGAACAGAGTTGCTTATCCCAAAACTAATATATTTACTGAATGACCCCATATGGGCTTTGACTGAGAATTTTCTTTTGTATTGTCCGTTTTGTCACAAGCTGGTTAATTATGATTTTGGTCAGCTTTGGGAGTTTTGAAGGTCTCTCGTTTCAGGGTCAGTGCGGCGTTAATCATAGTTTGGTGAATTCAGCAGGTAGCTCTTTTAATTTCCAAGAATTAGTACTGTGATTCTTGTACCTGACTTTGTCCTGGGTGGTTAATCCAGCCTCTCCTCAGTTTACACAGGCACACCAGTTCTCTTTACTCTGCATATCAAGTTGTAATCAAAAGGACGGGAGTACAAGAGAAAGATCACTAGAAGATGGCAGGGCAGGCAAGGAAGGAAGGTTGTAAGTGGAACCTGAAAGTTTAATGTAATAATAATTAAAAAAGCACAAAGTTCACAGTCTGTTCTCTCTATTCTGTGAGGCCAGTCTCGGAGAGCTGGAAGCTGTCGGCGTGCTGTCCATTGATGCGGATCTCCTTGTCAGTCCTTTTTGGACTATTTGAGTCAGCCGCAGGTGGGAGCTCAGGAATAGTCTTGTCAAAATTCTCCATCTTGATCTGATATTCACCCTTGGGGCTGCGGGCTAGCACGGAGGCGAAGCGGTGGTATAGCATGATCTCTGAGGGGAGGTAGGATGTTCTCCTTTGACACATTTCTCCTGTGCCCTCCTGCACCGCTGACAGAAAAATGACCAGCTCAAAATGGTGAGCGGCTTCTCTTTGGAGGAGAGCAGCCAGGGGGCTGGATGGAGTGACTGAATGGTAGTAGGTCAGTGGAAAGATGAAAAAAGGACACTCCTCCGAAGTAACGCTGTCTAGGTGGAAGTCAACGCTAGTTTGGTGCAGCTGCCCATTCTCTTGTTCTTGGTAAAGTATAGCAGAAATCTGGACGCTAGTCAGTGGGCTGGAGCGTGTGTTGGCCACCTGGAACATAAGGTATGGCTTCCCCTCTGTGTGTGCCACTACAGCAGAGCGGGTGAAGCGGATGGAGAATGCCCGATTCTTTGGTCGGGCGATCTTTGCCACGAAAGCACCTGCATCACAGAAAAGAAAAAACTGAACGGGGCGCACTGTGCCTGGGTTGGTTCCCTGCAGCCTCTGAGCTCTGTGATACAGTACAGAGGAACAGAAGCAGGCTTGGGTGGACATGGTCTTTCTAGCCTCAGCCTGCATGTTTGAAAACTTCTAGGCTGGCATCACACTAACCCATTTTTGGTTTAAAAAGTATAGCTTTCCTAAAATGCTTCTTTTTCTAAGCTATGTTCACTTACTAATCACTAGAGTGTTCACTTCCTAATCACTAGAGTGAACTCTAGTTGTTGGAAGGAGAGCTGTTAGCTTGCTCCGATGTTCTACCACAGGAGAAGTTTGCTTTTACTACACAGTAAACTAACCTGTGTATTTTTAGTCTATCGAAATACTTTAAATCTGAAAGCTATTTTCAGTAACTTAAAATGCCTCGAAATAGCTGTGACATTTTAAAAAGGTTCATTACATTGGGTACTGAGGAACACTGAATTAAAGATAACAAAAGTACTTCAGCTGGACGAAAGTAAACCTTAAAACTATTAATGAAAACAAATTGACTTCAAATACTGTAATACCATGGAAAAAAACTTGGCAAGATAATGGTATAAGAAATAAGTGATTGAGAGTGGTAAGTGGGGAGCTGCCACAAGTATTGTCCAATGAATAGTGGCACGCTCAAGCCCAAATCTTGATATCAACTAATTTATGCCTTTTCTTAATGAAAGATATTTAACTTTTACTACTAGATAGCTTAAATTTCATCACCCTTGTAGTGACTGGCTTAGTTCTTCTTTCAGATATCAACATGATCACTATTTATTGCTAGCTTCATTTCTTAAATCTGTCACGCCTATTCTATCTAAAGATTAAATATGAAGGATTACCTGTGATGAAGGCTTCCAGCATGAGCCCCAGGACCATCTGTATTGCAAGCAGCGCGATAGCACTGGGACAGTCCCCACTTGGGAACATAGTGCCGTAACCAATTGTGAGTTGCGTCTCCAGTGAGAAGGAGAAAGCAGCTGTAAAACTGGTGATATACTTGACACATATAGTGTGGTTGTCAGGCGGAGCATCATGGTCCAGCTCCAGGTCCCCATTCATCTCAGCCAGCAAATACCAAAGCACTGCAAAGACTAGCCAGTGAATGACAAAAGAAGCAGAAAAGACAAGCATCATCCATCTCCAGCGCATGTCCATTAATATTCCCCATGCATCTCGGAGGTATGCCAGACCTTTTCCTTGGGCACCATCCATCTGGAATGTGCTGTGTCCGTCCTTGGTCACCATTCTCAAGTATCTTTGGGTCAGGAGGGGAGCACTGGATTTGGTGTTATTGCTCTCTATCATGTCTGTTGTCATCTTCTAGAAAAGAGGAAAAAGGAAATAATGTGATACGATGCAGCATGTTTGTATTTTGCCTAACGTTCACAGTTTTTGACACATCAGCAGGGGTTGAAATACTGCAGCCAACAAAGGAAGGCTTATACATTGCAATCCAGAGAAGATTAAGTCAGGAGCCTGCAAAGGAATTTACCACTGTTTGTGGTAATACTTTGCTAAAAAAGATTAAGTTCAAAAATCTGACTACTTCTCAAATTTTCCCTGCTTAGTTGTTTAAATATAACTTTCATACTTTACCTTCCTAAATTTATATTTGAATCGCATGCTTTAATTCTTTAGGGGTGAGTGGGATGGGATTAGGCATACTATGTCTGAAAAGAAACTTAATTTTTTCTGATTATATCAGTTTTTGTAACTTCTTTTTAGCAGAGTATACTAGTTTACCAATACTATTATGAATATTATTAACAGTAGTACTATGGAAATAATGTTTATTGTATTATTTGTATTATTGTATTCATTTTTAGGGGAATGCTGTAGTTCACCTGGTAGCCCTTTCAGACTTTTCTAGCTCAGGAGATGACTGCTGTCTGTACCCACCGTATCCAGTTAAGCAGAATTACAGTGTTCAGGGCAGAGCTGCTTCTGTGAGTCTGAGGCTGTTTGTGTAAGGATCGGGTAAAAAAGGGGCAGGAGACCAATACTGAAAATATACTGTGATATAATTTGAAGTTTAGTCTGCCTAAGCAGTGTGTTTTTTGTTAGTGACCAAATAAGAAAATAGGACAGCGAGTGTGTGGGAATTAGGAGGTGAAGGTGGAATTGCAAACGTGGGAAGCAAAATGGATACTTGCAGGTATTTGAGGTGTTAGGCTCCTTTGTTGGCTTTCAAACCTCAAAACTTGCCAAACTTGTCAGAAATGCTGGGTGGCTTTTGAAGAGACACTGGCCGCTCAAATCTGTACAATTTATGAGTACTGAATGTTTAAAGTTTAGCTGGGAGAGACTAAAATAAATAAGGGCTCAAGTAAAATAGAGACTTCATAATCTGTGCGACCCACTTAAAGAATATTGTGAGGAATCTTCTTTATAGAACAACCGAGTATTTTAAAGAAAAATGTAGATTCTGCAAGTCATAATTACACATGATGTGTTTAGTAAATTGTCTCATCAATTTTGTACACTGTGTACAAAGTGTACAAACAGGCTGGAGGAATGGGATTTTTTTTTTCCCAAGAGTTCTGTCTTAGTTTTATCTGGAAACACATTAGATCTAAGGTTCCTGAACTTCAGAATGAGTTTATGAAAGGTAAAAATCTTTCCTGTGATCTTTGATCCTGTAAACCAGCAATTTTCATGACTGTTTGCTTGATACCAAATTTTAGTAATTACAAAATATTCTCTTTCACTTGTGCCTAATGCATAATGAAGTAAGAGAATTGACATCACCGTGAATATTTAGCTAGATTTTAATTTTTCTTTCCTTCTGTAGGTTCTCGGAACCATCCAGCTATTTTTCCTATCCATGCTGTAGTCAAAAGAGGTAGAGTAGATGATGGCCTGAGTGGAATTTGGTAGTTTCCTCCTCATTTTTATTTTCCAGTTCATGTCTCCTAGAACGAGTATTTCAAAACCACTCCCCGTTCCAAAGAATACAGTGGACTTTCTGAGATTTTTCCTGCTCAGTAGTACTAGGCTGCTTTTCTTGGGGGATTCTGATCATAGTCCGTTCGGTTTATAGCATGCCCCCCCTCCTTATCCAAGTTTGATCTTTGGTCTACTATGTGGCTCTCTAAATGACAGTTTTCAGTCTTGCTGCACCGTTACAGAATTTATAATAACCTGAATACCATTTTAAATGCTTCAGGAACCAGATGATTAGCAACTTGTCTGTGGAACAGAGTTCTTCTGCTAAGAATCAGAAGAGCCCTTCTGGATGCCTTGAAGGAGCTGGAAAATGGGCATCCCTGAATGGGAAGGATGATGGGGACCATGCACAAAGTGAGCTGCTAACATGCCTTGGTTTTATCATCTTACAATAAGCAGTACTCGCAAGAAGCACTCCCTCGTTTGAATAGAGCAAAATGCCTCTGGGTGTAAACCTGATGCGTCCTTGGGGAAAGAAAGAAAAAAAAAAAAAGCCTGACAACCTAGTGTGTTTGTGTAAATTCTCATGGTACTTTGAGGGCAGCATCTGCCTCTTAGCCTCCGAGTAATTTGGGTTTGCAAAACAAGCATATGCTGTGAGAATGAGTCTGATACCGACTGATTGGTGACAGAAGACTTTTCTACAGTGTTTTACATATTTAATGTATGTTTTTCTTTTTCTCTTAATGTGGTACATTTTTCTTGGCTACACTTCGGATCTTCCACGCATTAGTGCTAAGGTAGTGTGCTTGAGCCCTGCAGATTTTACTCGGAGCAAAATATGTCAGCGTTGCAGGGTCTCAATTTTGTTGATTAAGGAGCTTTCTAGAGTGGTAATTAATCACTTAATGTTGGCTTAAAGCTCTGAAAAAAATTAGTTGGTGTTCACCATCAGGTTGTTTGGGATCTTTTTTATGGGGGAGGATCCATTACTGTCAGATTTCGAAGGTACTTGAGAAAGAAACCTCCATTAGCCCCCGGCAGCACATTTCACAACAGCCCTGTGTCTCTGCTCCTTGAGACTCCCAGCAGGGGAATTTGCCTGCTGAGGTTAACCAGGTTACTACTCTGGTCTCATTTGATATAGGCCTCTGATTTTTCTTATCTAGGACTATTTAAAATATCAGGTATCTAATTAGATGGCAGTGATAGCATTGGAAGTCTGTAAGCTTGAGTTCCAAAACTTTTTTTTTTTTGCAGAATCCACAAGTCTCAACTTCTTGGGGTGGGGAAAAATGGGTAAAAAACCTGCAGATAGGCTCTGAGAGTGGTGCCGTTGGTTCAGAATAAGAGGTGAAAGAGCTGCCCTGTGAGAAATAGTTTATTCAGGCTGGAGGATTGGTCCTCTGTATTGTCAAAAGTAGAGTCAACTTAAAAGTAGATCTGACTTGGAATTTAAAAAGAATTGTCTTCTGTCTACTCCTTTCCTTGTCCACTGTAGTAAAAAATATAAATACCTTCTTTCCTTGTTAGTGATAAATTAATGAAGTTGGAAAGTACAATTTAGGTCATCTGATCCCCTGCCCAGCACGGTCCTCGACGTCCCCATGTTAATCCCAGTTTCAAACAGCGTATGTTGTAGGAAAGACATTCAACTTTGACTTGAAAAGAAAAATTCTGCACTGTTTGTTGGAGAATACTTGTCTCCGCTGCTAAATGCATACTGTATTTCTAACGCAGATTTGTCTAATGTCATCTCTTAACCTTTTATGTTATGCTGTTTGTCTGGTTTTGCTTTTCCTGGTTCCTGACTTGTGAAACTGTTGTAACTTTGGGGTGTTCCTTCTCCCTTCATCTCCCAGCTGATAGCCCTTGACTGGAAAGACAGGAACTGTCAGAAATAACTTTTCTAAACCTCTTTTGGCATGCTGACCAGTCTTTTATCATGCATTCAGTGTGTCTAATCCTTCCTCTTTCCAGTCTCTTGAAAATTAAATGGTTATCACCAACTCCAGTGCGTGTGTCAGTTCTTAACTTTTTTTTAGTCTCTTTACCACCATTGTCCCTCACTCTGGCTTCTTCTGTGCACTGGAAGTTTAGAAGACTAAGATAAGTCAAGGTAGGGCAAGTACTACCTTTTTAAATGAAAGTGAGTTTCCCTTTTCCAAGCAGTCGGACAGGTTCTAAAGTGACCTGGCTTGCTAATGATTTATGTGTAATAAAACTTTGCCTTGCAGCTCTAGGATATTGCTTGCATTTCTGAAATTCACGATCCAGCACACTGATCTCCCACGCTTTGCCTTTTTGATTGAGATCATCTTCCTGGTGTTGTAACAGCTCTTTGTTACGTTGCTGCTTCATGGCACCATGTTTCTTTCCTCTTGTTTAGCTTTTCTCTTGACAGACGGAGCTCAGCTGTTAAGACTCTGGTGGGATTGCATGGGGACTCATTTGCAGCAGTGTCTTCATTTTCTTTTGGTTTGCCTTCTCTGTTGAAGGTGTTTGAAGTGACACTTCCAGCCTGTTTTCAGCTCAGTATGCTAAGGCACCTGCAACCCTTCTAGGAGCCTGAATGCCTTTACGTGGAGCTGTGTTCAGGAGAGACTTCTGCAGTGTTGCCCTGCCCACCCAACTTCTACTCTTAACAAAATCTGTTCTAATTGACCTTGGAAGGGATTTGAGGCAGTTTATAGTGCACTGCTTCGTTGTGACAGCAAAGTAGTTAAGAGGACCTGCTGTTTGCTGGGACTAACTGCAAAAACTGCTTAAAACTGTACCATAATTTGAAGATTTATTAGAACCCAGGTGGTGCTGGCATGCCCCTCTGGGAATGTGTACGTTCCCTCTTTACTTGACCTGGGTCCACATAATCTTGTACTAGTTTCAGATTTAAACATCATCTCTGTGCTGTAAGCTGTGATCATTCAGATGTGTCGCTGCCTCTGCACTTTGCAACAAGAACAAACTAAGTTTATCTTTCTTTTTATAGGCACTTTTCCTGCTATTAAAATCTCAGTATTGTTATTTTTAGATTGAATGGCAATCCTTGAGATGCCCTGACATTAATATTAGGAAATGAAGGTTTTTTTGGTATTGATGACATGACTGGATCATATAACTTACATTAGGGGATAATCTTAGAAATATAGGAAGTAAATCAGTTAGAATAACTGCTTTGGTTGAAAGCTTATGCTGCAGTTGTTAGTAGGATAGCTAAAATTGCAAACGTGTTTGTCCTTTAGGTTTTGTAGCTAGTGCCTCATTGAGATGAATGGGAGTAGTTTGTGACAAAACTGTTTTTTCCAAGCGGTCTGTGGAATTAAGGTAACAGTTTTCAGGACTGTTACATATATAAGTCAGTCTTGTAAAAACAGGAACTTTAATTTGTTAAGCCCAAGTCGTGCTTTTCAAAGCAGGTGCCACAAAGTATA